TGTGACATTGTGCCTATTATTTCTTGTCCTCCCCTGGGGGGCCCTTGGTGAATAGATGCTCCCCTAAACCCTGATGTACGCCCTTAATATACTTATAGGCTGCAAGCAAGTCCCCTCTGAGTCTTCTCTTCTCCAGGCTGAACAATCCCAAGTCCCTTAGCCTCTCCTCATACATCTTGGTTTCCAGGCCTCTAGTCATGTGCGTGGCCCTTCTCTGGACTCTCTTGAGCTTCTCCATATCCTTCTTGAAGTGTGGTGCCCAGAACTGGATACAGTACTTCAGTTGCGGTCTCACCAAGGCCGAGTAAAGCGGGAGGATAACATCCTTTGCCTTGCTCGAGATGCCTCAGTGGATGCACGCCAGAGTTTGGTTAGCTCTGCCAGCTACGGCATTGCATTGATGGCTCTTGTTCATTTTGTTGTCAATCATGACACCCAGGTCTCGTTCAGCTGTGGTACCAGCAAGCGGAGCACTGTCGAACCTGTAAGTGTATTGTGGGTTATTTCTCCCCAGATGGAGCACTTTACATTTCTCTGTATTAAACAACATCAAGTTGGGGTGTGCCTACTTCACAAGCCTGTCCCAGTCAGCCTGTATTGCCAGCCTCTCTTCGACCGTGACAACGCTCCCCCATAGCTTGGTGTTGTCAGCAAATTTTGCCAGATTGCCCAAATAATTGCCCACCTTTGTGATAGACTATTCTCAGTGCCTGCTGGGGATAAGACAAGGAGTAATAGTCTTAAATTACAACATAGGAAATTTAGGTTGAATGTTAGGGAGAATTTTCTCTCGATAAGCATTTAAACAGGTTATCCAGAGAGGTCATGAAATCTCCATCCCTGGAAGCTTTAAGAGCAGGTTAGATACTTGTCTGGAATGGTTTAGACAGGAATAATCAAACTTTGAGGAGTGGGTTAGACTAGGTGACCTCATGGTGTCCTTTCTGGACCTATTTTTCTATGATTTCTATGATTCTATACTGGGGTGTACAACCTTTTTGAATGTGGGGCTGGATCATGAACTTTTTATCACCCAGTGGACCTGCAAGTCATATTCATAGACCTCACAGGAAGTAGTATTACATCAGGAAGTGATGTCATGTGACCTTTGACACCAATGAAGTTGCAGGAAGTGACAATGAAATGGGTCTGGAAATGTGGTTTAAAATCCAAAATAAAAACAATATAAAAAGCAACAAAGAAATAATACCAAGTACTTGACTAAAATAAACACTTTTGCTTCTACTCACTTTTCAATGAATGAAAGAAGCATAATGCAAGTCGACAGATCAAATGTGGAAAAAATATCAGCCAGAGTGGAAACTAATCAAAGCAACAAAATATGGGCATTTTTGAGAATAATCTTCAAGAAGATTTACTTTTATTGAATTAATAACTTGTTAGTAACACATATTTAACAAGTAGTAACAAGTTGAACCCCCAATCCGCACACAAAGAGAAACAGAAGCATCATCTGAATGAAGGTGGTGGGACCTCAATGACCAGCAGGGGTAGAATTTAGATTTATCTGGCCCGGTGAAAGATGCTTACATGCCTCTTCATTCACCGCCATCATAACCAGTGTTACCCCATCTTAAACCTTTTATCAGCAATACACTATCTGCTGGTTAAAGAGGCAGAGGGCCTCCAAGAAGAGGGTATCATTGCTCCGAAGCTGGTATACCCCTTATGGTCTTTACCACTCTGCCTTGTGCTTGGCTTGCTGTGCTCAAGGCTGGACTAGTGGGGTGAACTTTCATCGGCATACCCAACTGCAAAGTAGCAGACCAAGCATTGATTAAAATAACCCTCCCAAAATAGTCTTGGAGACTAGTTTAGCTGAGTCACCAGGCTGAAAACAGGTCACCTGGTCTAAGGTCAGGTTGGTGGCAACCACAACACTACCAGCCCTACTGTGTTATAGCTCAGAGAAATAGAAAGGAAAGGGGGAAATGGAAACAACAGCTGATCTGGCAAAAGCCTCTCTTGTTTGTACTTTATCCAAAGATCTAATAACTGATCTCATAGTACAACAGCTACTGCAGTGAAGAGGATGAAGCAGAAGGAAGATAAATTACTGTTTTGTGTGTTCTCTTTTCTGGACACCATGCTTTACAGGCAATAGATAGCTAGTTAATCACTCCTCAGTGCTGGCGGAAGCTTGCTGTGCAAACACACCCAGTAAAGCAGGGAGTGGCAAGTTAGTTTAGCAATCAGAAAGGACCATAAATCATTACTCTTGCTGCAATTGTGGCCTATGGATTCAGCACCAAAACTGGGAGTCAGGCAAGTTGAACTATATTTCCAGCTCTACCACAGACTCACCACGTAACTTCGGGCAAACTGCCAATGCCAGATTTGGAAAGGGACTGGGCGCCCACTGGTTCCATGGGAGTACCTGACCTGGACCCCATGAGGCAGCAGGCATCCTGCCACCAGTCAAACAAGACCTTGGGAAGAAATTTCCAACAGTTTCTTGCCACTGGGAGGAGGTAGAAATTAAAGAGAAAACCTCTTCCCCTTTTCTTTTTGTCCTTGTGTTAACTGACAAGGCATAGAACAGAGCCTGAAAACCTCGCTGTATTTCTAGTACCACCCCTCTGTTCACAGAGGTTAGAACACCGAGGGAGTGGAACAGACTGCCTAGGGAAGTTGTGGACTCTCCATCATTGGAGGTGTTCAAAAAGATGTTGGACAGCACTGGTTGGGCATGATCTAGGCCAGCGTTTCTCAAAACATGGGTCGCGACCCAAAAGTAGGTCTCAAGAATATATGAAAGGGTCACGAGCAAACTTTAAAAATGGGTTCTCCTTTAAAGGAGAAAAACATATAACTGTGGCTTTTCTCTTGTGGGCTGGCAGAGTTCCAGCCTGCAAGGGGCTACTTGCGGCCCCCCCATACCCCCCACACTGGGGCACTGGGGTCTGGAAGTAGGAGCAGTGAGGGACACTGGGTCGAGACTGATCATCTATGTTTACAAATGGGTCCTGGTAAAAGAAAGGATAAGAACCACTGATCTAGACCGGGGTGGGCAATTATTTGAGGCAGAGTGGAGCAACACAGGGCACAACCCTTGCTCCTCAGGCTCCTGGTGGTGAGCCAGATAGGATCATTTGGGCTGGATACAGCTCGTGGGCCATATTTTGCCTACCCCTGATCTAGGCATAGCTATGCTTATGTTCTACAATGGGTACTTCTCATGCTTCTGGGCTTTGCTGGTTGCCCCCACCACCACCTTTCCCCTTTCTCCTATATGTGCCAAGGTGTTTTTAAGTCTTCCTCGGAGGTACTGGGTGTTGGCTACCGCCGAGGCTAGGGACTTTGACTGGGGTGTGCCAATGCTCCATCTGGGACCAAATCCAGAGGTTTTTGGCTAGAGGGTTATGTCCAGGGGTAGGCAACCCCTTCCATGGGTGCTAGAGCATAGCACACAAAGGCATTTTGCTTGGCACGTGTGCCTTGGGGCAGACTTCAGGGGAAGGGCCAGGGCTGTGCTGCCACAACAAGGATAGAGCCCCTTGTGGCTCCCCCCCCCGCTGCCACTGGCACGCCCACACTTTCAAGTCAAGGCTGCGGGTGTTTTTGGCACTGCCCAAAAAATGCTGCCGAACCCTGGTCTTGCCCCTCTGCTCGGGGTCCCACTGGTTGCCAAATTTGGGGTCAGGAAGGAATTTTACCCCATAGTCAGATTAGAGCAGACTGTGGAGGTTTTTGCCTTCCTTTGTAATGCTCCAGCACCTGGCTTCTGGGACGTGGGCACAGCCAGCTCCCAGGAGGGTAGACCAGGCTTTGAGGTTAAAGCCATGGCCCCAGGAGATGAGGGTCAGAACTGAGCCTCCCTGCCCTGTGAAAGGCAGGGACCCCCCCACACACATACAGGTGCCAGGAGCCTACAGTCACCAGCCCGGCCCCAGGGGAGGTGCCATCTTCCCACCCCGGCCCCGGCCCAGCCCAGCCCTACCTGCGGCGCCCCGGCCAGTCAGGAGGTGGCAGAGGCAGATGACGAGGGTGAGCCCAGCCGCCGTGCCGCCTCCGCGGGTCCGCATCGCCGCTTTGTGCTGGGCTGGAGGGAGCCGGAGCTGGAACTGGGGCCAGGGCTGGGCGGCATCTCAGGGTGCAGTGAGCGCAGGCTCTGCCTGAGCCTGGGGCCCCCCCTGCAGTGCAGCCAATGCTGACAGCCTGGCGGGAGGAGGCACCTGCCCATGCTGCTCCACCTCCACCAGCGACCTGGGTCCAGGTGGCCAAGCGGGGCTGCCTCTTGCCTGCAGGTGGGGAGCGGCGAGTCACTCAGGCCGGGAAGCAGTTGTTTCCCCACATGGTGCTGGGGACAGAAGGAGGCGGGACGGGTCTGCACTCCTCTTCCCACACGCACCGCGTCGGCAATGTCAAGCTGACGCAGTGCATGTGGGAACCTTGTCCCTTGCCCAGCCCTTCAGCAGCCATTAGGAAGCTGCTATGGGGCTGGGGGAGGGACCAGGGGCAGGAACGAAAGTAAATCATGTTTACTTTTGTTTCCTGTTGCAGCACCGCGGGCCACAGAAAATGCCTTGGCGGGCCACATGGCGGCCCATGGGCCGTATGTTGGACAAGCCTGTTCTATATGGTGAAGGGATATCTAGTGGCTAAAATACATAACATAACATATTGCACACTGCACTTTCAGCTCCATTCTGGTTAAGGAGGGGTGAGAGGTAGCAGAAGAACCTATTCCCTTTTTACTACGGTGTAATTGGAGCTCATTGTGGATTTCTCTTTTCATCAGCTGTTGATTCTCCAGGAATCTAGGCTTTTTCTCTTGGTCACATGCCTCCACATCCACAGCAGTAGGGTTTTGGACAGGGGAGGGGTTAGTTAGATGTTGACATTGGTCAAAAGATGTAGACTACACATGGGTGAGAGCAGTCTCCTTGGTCCAGCCAGGCTACAAGGGTATGAAGGCCAAAATTTTCAAGAATAGGAACTGAACATTAGGCCCCTGAGGAATCTTATTTTTTTTCCAGTGTTGAGCTCCCATTTTCTCCATCCATCTCACGATGAAAATCAAGGTAGGTCCCTTTACATTCAAAATAAAAACGTCTGTGCCTTTTTTGTTGCTTTTTATGGCTTAGAGGAGGTTTGAAAGGGGTGATTTACATTTTTCCCTTTTTTGTTTTATTGGAAATCAAGCCCTATCACTGAAAGAGTGAACTTTGCTTTCTGTCTTGGACTGGAATACAAGTACAGGTTTCCCTGGCTTTATGCTGTACATGCATTCCTGGAAAACAACACGTAACTCGAAATCGCATAAAGGGAACCCACCTTACAATATAACAAATAGGGGTATGTTCCAAGACCTCGGCTCTACTTTCACAGACCCAATTCTACCACTTTTACAAGACGAGTTTGGTATTCACCAACAGCAGACAGTATGCACAAGCACAGGGCACTATCATAATGGGGATGACAACTACAGAAACACGTGTTGCAGACGAGTGAGGAGCACAAATCCACACAGGAGTCTATATTTTGGTGCGCGTCACTCCCATAATGCACCGCACAAAGCAGCTTCCACCACCCTGATAGCATGAAAATGAATTTACCTTGCACATAACTAATTTTTGGTATAAAAAGGATCATTGCATAAAAGCAAATTTACACATACAGAACACACGTAAAGCAAGGGAAACCTGTATGTGTGAATCTAGTTAACACTGCATTCAAATAAAAACAACATTGGGGAGCAGGTGGGGAATATTTTAACATACTCTTAAGTTAACATAAATGAAAGAAGGTATTTTCTAAACATATAACAGCTTCCTCGCTAGACCCTGCCTAGTTCTGCTTCAAGCAGGGCTGTTCTTCCTGCATTTTCAGTTTCATAGTTTCATATTTGGTAGGGTCGGAAGGTGCCTGAGCAGATCATCAAGTCCGACCCCCTGCCATGGCAGGAAAAAGTACTGGGGTCAAATGACCCCAGCAAGGTGTTTGTCTAACCTCCTTTTAAAGACCCCCAGGGTAGGAGCCAGCACCACTTCGCTTGGAAGTTGGTTCTAGGTCCTAGCCGCCCTGACTGTGAAGTAGCGCCTCCTGATGTCTAGTCTGAATCTGCCCTCTGCCAGCTTGTAACAGTTATTTCTAGTCACTCCTGGGAGAGCTCAGGGGAACAGGGACTCTCCCCCAATGCCTCCTGGTCCCCTCTGACTAGTTTGTAAGTTAAATGCTAAGTAGAAAAAAAACCCTTAAAGAATCTTTTTTTTGGTTTCCTCTATACAAAAAGTATAGCGATGGCAAAACTGTAGCAAAACACACACTGTGCTGGATATTGTTAATGACTGCCTGCTGACTAAGTTCAGTGACGGACTACGGGAACTGCACATGGCCACTGAGGATGTTATCGTGTTGCTTGGCAGTTATGCGCACGTTGTCTAACTATCTAAAAAAAATGCCGGTTATATACAACTTAGTTATATACAACTTGTTTTTAGCTCATCCTACATATTGCTTACTAAATTGCTAAAAAAACAAATGAGTGACATTTTGATCCAGAATACTGATGTTTGTTCCTGTCAGGGTCTTGGCACTGAAAAAAGGTAGATAGCTGCCTACCTGACAATTTAGGTCCTTGGGTTATCTTGCACCCTTAGCACGATCTCACAATACTGACTGCCTTTTTTTTGGCTGTTGCAGCTCAGATTGGGTGGAGATCATTGAGCCTCGATCTCGTGAGCGAATGTATGTCAACTTGACAACAGGAGAGTGTGGCTGGGAACCCCCTCCTAATCTGAAAGTTCGCCAGTCAGATCAGAAACAGTGGTGGGAACTCTTTGACCAAAGCAACAACCGCTTCTACTACTACAATGCCATCACCCAGCAGACAGTGTGGCACCGGCCCCAAGACTGTGACATTGTGCCACTGGCTCAGCTCCAAGCCATGAAACAGAATTCTCAGTCTGACTCCAGAGAACATCAGCATAGAGTCACCTTGAGTAGTGATGGCAGAAACACCCACATCCAAATGCCCTTGCTGCAAGAAATGGACAGGGTTAAGGATAGCAGTACAAAGAAGAGACCGGACTCTGGAAGGTAGGAAGGACCTGGGCTTCTCCAAGGTATAATTAACATACAGCTTTTTCTGTAGTACTGGTATTAACCACACTGCATGAAATATTCAGCTTAAGAACACAATGGGCACATCTACATGAGATGTTTATTGCAGAGCTGCCTACTTAGCTTCACAGTAAACATCTCTGCATCTACATGTACTCCCTTATTAGGGGACATGAAACTAATACACTCCAGAGCAGGCTAGTACTTGTAAGTCAAAGTACTAGCCTGCTCCAGAGTATTTTCATGCACAGCAGTGCACATGTAGACCCTGCCAGCTGGCCAAGGCACAAAAGTGCTTCAGTGCAGGCGCTGCCTGCCAGCTAGCCCCACACTGAAGCACCCTCATGCCTCAGCCAGCTTCTCCACAGTACATTGAGCCCAGTCAAAGCAGCCCTGGGCTGCTGCCAGCTGGAGTGGCTCCAACTGGGTTCAGTGTGCTGCACACAAATAAACTCTGGACATGGGCTCTGTACGCATGTTCAAACAGTGTACCCTGGAGCAAAAAACTGCAGAGCAATGAGCACTGGAATTTATTCATGCATATTAATTGCACGTGTAGATGTGCCCAGTGTCTAGGAAACAGTGCTGGTTGGAGATGATACCTTTCTTGGGGGTTATTACTACAGGCCAGTGGTGCCAGATCAGTCTGTGGGCCTGATCCAGCTGCATGCAGAGGGCCTAAATGGGGCCCAATACAGGGCTTGGAAATTTTGGCAGCAGAGGAGCAGTGGCAGTGTTAATTGCCACTGCTGCCAAGTATCTGGACCTGTGGGGAGCCCTGCAGGCTGAATGTGGCCTTTGGGCTAGGGGTAGAGTCTGCTAAGGCACCACTGGTTTGAATGTGATAAAAGCTCAATCCAGTCCCCTGAAGGCTAGTAATCTGCACCTTCCTTTTTTTTTCTGTCTGCTAGTGAAGCTAGTTATTAGTCACCTTATATAAGAGATGCTGTCATGGATGGGGCTTTTGTTATGTGAGGTATGGTACAAACCAAAAGCAAAGCTGTGTGCAGTGCTGTTGTCAGTATAAAACCCTGTGATTTGGCCAAAGGGCAAAACTGGCAGGAAATGCTTGCTTCTCCTTGCTGCCTGGAAAAGTTGCTGCTCAAAGTGCAGGAACTGAGGCTACCAGGAAAGGCTGAGCTGCCAACCAGTGTTTTAGGCTGTAGCCCTCAATGTGCAGGGTGCAGACAGAGACTGTTTGCTAAGGTGCAGAGTCTCTCCTCCTTGAGCCAAGTCTTCCTTTCTTGTCATCCTGTTACTGTAGGCTCTAGCCCTCTTCTGTTCCCTAGGTGGGCTGCTCTGAAATGTGTCTAACTACAGGTGGAGCAGGGACAGGATGCTAGATAGTGGGTGACAGGGATCACAGCCACAGTCACTTGCACACAGCAGTTAAACAAAGGAACAATAACTGGATGTGAGTTTGTGTGATTAAAAAGCACTATTTTAATTCAGCGAAATCAATTTGACAACAGAGTATTTCTTGTTGACAATTTGCCAGCTGTTGTCCTGCTTTCATAGACAGCAAGGAAAGAACAGCAAAACTAATCCTCTGGTGCTTGCTAATCAAAGTGTCTTTCACTTGATGAGCTCAAACATTTTGCATATGTAAATACAATAAGCCTCATAGCCCCTCTAAGGGAAGTTCAGAACAAGATTCAAGAAAACCTCACCTTAACCTGCATTGTTGCTGTGCAGAGTGCTCAGGTGCCATGGTGATAAATGGAGTATAAATGCCCCAAAATTGTTTACAGGGTATAAAACTCAGGCAGAGGGGAATAGACTTGATACAGGCATCCCGACTCCCAGTCCAGTGCCTATTATCAGAAGAGCATCCTTACGCTTTTGCCATGTCTGGACCGAGGCATTGTGAGCCATTTTGGAGCTGTTTGCTCTTTGGGGCAGGATTCTCTTTGCATCTTAAGGGCTGTACTGTCTAGCAGTATTTTCAGGGGACACTTGTCTACAAGTCTTCTCTGTCCTACTTTCTGCTTCACTTAAGCCTAACATGACTAATTACCTCTCTGTGCATTATAACTGAGTAAATCCTCCTGGCAAGTGAGTTCTCTGTAATGAGTGTATATTCTGATAGTCTTGCAGTTCATCTCCCAGGAAGGGAGGTAGAAGGGGTGGAAATGTGCCAGCAAACAGCTTGTGGCATAGTATAGGGGTCAAATTATGGTTCTCAGGCTGGATCCAGCCCAAAGAGCTGGGGGGCTTTGTCACTGTTTCTGCCGCTGGGGGCTTTGTCTGTGCTGCAGGTGGATGGTACGGAGAAATGGTAACAGTGGCAGCCATGTTGGAAGCACCAGCCCACCTTGAACCTGAGCTGGGTTATTTTGATCTGCCACTTGAAGAAGTTGCCAACAACTAAGTCTTTCCTACAGCCACATTTCTTGGGTCAAAAAATATAATACAGGCAGTCCTCAGATTTATGACACAATTGGTTCCTGAAAACCGTGTCTTAAGTTGAAACATTGTAACACAGAACCAATTTTCTCATAAGAAACCATGTTATAAATGGGGGATTGGTTCCTGAACCAAGGCCTGATACACTATTTTCACCAAAAATACCCCAGAATTTTGTACTCAATCAATTACAGATGTCAATTACAGATATCAATTACAGATATAGCTACATTAATGTATTTATATTGTAAATATCACTCATATTGATTTGGAATGACTTCTTTGAGGTGACTTTGCTGGACTTTTTGAAAGGTTCTATCTAGGTTGGACTTTTTGAAGAGTTCTTGGCTGAAGTCTTCTCAGGAGTCTTGTCTGCAGGTTTTTCTGGAGTCTTGTCTGCTTTCCTTGGACATTTTCTTTAAGAAGTTTGGACAGATGTTCTCCAGGGAGATGAATGACGCAGCGAACTTGTTCGCTGGCATGGTGTTGCATCCGATCAAGCGTTGTAAAGTTGAAACTGATGTCATAAAGTTGAAACAGGGTGTCAATGTATGAACATTGTAAGTGTGAAATGTTGTAACTCAAAAAGTTATAAGTCGAGGACTGCCTTATATCCTACTGGAACCAGGATAGAAATGAGTCATTTCTAGCAGTGGAGTTTCCACAGCACAGCTTAGGTCAGGGGTGGGCAAAATACAGCCTGTGGGCTGGATCTGGCCTGCTAGGCACTTTCATCCAGCCCACAGCACCCCACCCCCCAATGAATTGCACCCTGGCCAGCCCTTCCGCGCACAAGGGTGGGAGGGAGGCAGCCACGTGGACACCCCCGCAACATACCATATTGGTCCTCACTCCCATCCTCATGGGCAAAAGGGCTCTGCCCAGCCAGCAGCTTCTGGGCAGGGCTCCTGCTGCAGCCAGAACCTGCTCGCTTGGGCAGCAGGTAGGGAAGCAGCAAGGCTAGTTGTGTGGGGGTGGAGCTGCAACTGGGGGGAAGCTGGAGCACAGCCTGCACCCAGAGGGGCAGCGGGAGCACAGAGGTCCGCTGGGCAGAGTTGGGGGGGGGGGTGCAGGGACCCATCACACACTCCCCCCATTGGGTGCAGTCCCAGCTGCTGGCAGCAGCAGCAGGTGGGGAGGTTAGAATGCTCATGCCTGGTGCAGGCGCCCAATGGGGTGCGGCTCCAGCAAGCACTGTGCAGGGGGAGGGAGCAGAGCCTGCCTTTTTGCCAGGGCTCCGTCCCACGTGCCAGCAGCCCCAACACTTGCATCAGGGGAAGCACTGCACTGGAGTCTGCTGCTTCCCCCGCTCCATGCTGCCCAGGTCCCCCCACTCTGCCGGAAGTGGAGGGAGCCCCGCCGCCTGCTTCCCCTCAGAGTCCAGTGTGGGGCTTCCCTGCTGCAAGTAAGGGAGGTAGAGCCCCTACGATAGAAGTGGCCAAAAGATGGGAAAGGAAGCCAAGAGGTCAGTCTTGCATACTGTTGTTTACTCTCCGAATAGTTGTTAGTGAAGGAAGAACATGCTGCTGCTTTACCCTCTTCTTTTCCTACTTGTTGCTGCTGTATTGTGTGGCTCTAGCTGCACTTTCCCCATCATCTCATTGCATATTGGTGACATAAGAAACTGCTTTCCTATTTGATGGCCTCCTAGAGGCCTTTGGGACAGGGATAAGAAAGACGTGTCCCTCAGCCGCAGGCATGAAATGGTCCTTTTGGAGAAAAGGACTATTGACATAATCCCTGAGTAGAGCTAGTGGGAAAACAAAAAGATGACAACCTTGACATTTTTTGGGATAGAAATTTTGAAATAATCTCATTCTCCATTTGGAAGAACCCAAATGGAATTTTTTGACCTTCTAGGAAAGCTGTTATCCATTTCACTTGACAAGAGCTTTTCAGACAGGCAGCTAGGGAGCCATCTTTTCAGTTTTTTCAGTGGAAAATCAGAACCTTCCCCAGAAAATTTTGATTATTGTGAAATGGACTTTTTTTGCTTGGAAAACCATTCCAGCAGAAAAGTTACAACCAGCTGTATTCCTATGTGTTAGCAGGGCTTAGAATTGCTCAGGCTGGAAGTTACATATAGGGTGCACAAAGTGAACCAAAAAGAGCCCAAGCCTTTCAGCCTGGTCCCTGAAGTCTGCACTCTTTCAGGACAACTTGGCCTACTTCCATAATAATATTCAAGGACGATGCCCTCATGCTTGTCAGCCTTCTCCATTAGCCCTCCTCAGCTTCTCTGAGCTTTAGCCTGCTCTTAGAGCTGATTCTTATCCTGCTAGAAGACAGCATAGTATAGAACAGGGCTATCCAACTAGTGACCCACAAGGCTGCATGTGGCCTCCCAGGGCTTACCATGTGGCTCCTACCCAGCTGCTCCACAATATAGACACAGGTCATGGTGGCAACATCACTTCTGTTCATCTGGGGTAAAACAATGGCGCCACCACTCAACCTGCATGGAGTTGGGAGTGAATTCTGCGGACAAGACCTTGGAGTGGGTAAGGGATGCCTTCTTTCCTCCCTCAACTTCTGAAGACAGTGGTCAGTTTGGACTTCCAGGTCCCTGA